CCGGTTTGAGTTCCAGAGGTCAAGAGTGCACATAGACGAAATCCCACTCCTCATGATCACACACACTCAAATAATCATGTGAACACGCTTCAAATGCAGTACAGCGAGGGTATTCCGCATAGATTTATAATGAAATCCGATAATGTTATGTCAGCCCAAATTAGATTTTGAAATGGTGTGGTATTATGGGTGGGATTGTACTCATTCGTTAGTTTTTGTGCAGATGCCAGAACATTTTGCACCATCTGTGCATGTTGTGATTTGGATTATGAATGGCAGAGACTTTTCTGGACTGACGATAAAAAATGTGTCTTAAAAATGATCACTTTTTATATAGATATTTTGTTTCTGTTTTAATTCATTAAATCATGTAGGATGGATGCTCATATCCAAATATTGCAATCACAGGATCACTTTGTCTTTTGTGTTAAACATATTGAAAGTACAAGAAATCATGTGGGTCATCACAGCAGACTACATATCTCATATTGCCTGCAAACTTAGACCATCTTACCTTAAGAGCTAGTATAATACTGTGATTGAAATGTCCACTCTTGGCAGCAATTGTCTTTCATTTTGCATTACATGGCATCTCATTACTCTGTAAGGAACCATATTATCTGCAGATTGTAAAATCCTCTATCCTGCATTTTCTTCAGTTGAGATTAACTCTGCCCACTGAAGGATCAGCTGATATGAATCCTTTAGACCTGACCACTGAGAAATTCTGTGCCTGCCTCTGAGAGATTGATGATCTTATGTCTTTTTTTTTTTTACTCCGTGGTTTAGAAATTTCCAGCTGTTTGCCTAAGCAGTTTTTTGTCTTTTTTTATTATTGCAATATATTTAATTATTATTAGAAACGTCCAAACATTTGTTTTATATGTTAATACCCCCATCTGTTTATATTTTATTTAATGTGAATTTAGTGTGTGTGTGTGAATAAAATGTAATGAATAAATATACCTGTATATTGTTAAACATGTTTCACTTTAAATCTCCTGAATTATCAACTATTCATACCTCATTTGTAATTTTGATGCCTTCCACCCTCTTCTTTGTCTTTCTTTAGATCATTTCATACGTCGGTGGAAGCTTAAGTCATAGCACTTCCCAGTTTGCTGGTCGAGTCGGTTTTATGCATAATATGCCCAACACCAACCTGTCCCTGTACATTAACAACACCAGAGCATCAGACTCAGGAAAGTACATGTGCCAGGTCATCATTCCGGAGGCCTCAGGACTCACCGGAGAGCTCATTCTTAATGTTAAAGGTGTGTACTTACTGCCACACTGTGGTGCACACATGCATAGTCCTAAAACGCACATGCCTATGTACATGTCAGATGCTTGTTCTGTGACACAGGCCATTCTTTCTTTCAGCGTTTTCCAGAAAGACACTTTAAATGCAGATTTAACATCACGTGACCCATCCTGTCTCTTTCAGTCCCTCCTTCAGTGCCAGTTTGTCAAGTTAAAGGAAAGCCTGTTCTTAAAGGGAACATCACTCTGGCTTGTAACTCTAATGATGGTAAGCCGGCACCAGAATACAAGTGGACCAAGACCAGCCCCACCTCAGAGATCTTCTTCCCTCCCGCACAAAGTGAGTCTATCTTTGTGTCCAAGTAAGACACAAGAATGTTTAAATAATGTATTCATTCTCCTTTCTATTAGCATGATGTGTCTCATTAGCATTAACACGTTTCTCCAAAAATGGCTAAATTAATAAATCGCTGGCTAAATTATTTTTGTAAACATGCAAATCTAACTTTACCCTCCCACTGTTGTTGTTGTAGATGAAACAGCAGGAACTTTAAAACTGAACAATCTGAGCCGTAATATGTCGGGGAAATACATGTGCACTGCATCCAACTCTGCAGGAGTGGAGACGTGCTACATCAACCTGGAAGTCATCACATGTAATTTAAGTCGTCTGAAGATAAAAATAAAATTGTAAATTAAAAGGCATACGTTAACTTTTCCTGTTCCTTTCATACAGCGACTAATGCAGGGATGATCGCTGGTGTTACGGTTGGTTGTATTGTGGCTCTCATCCTGATCATTCTCTTCTTCTTCTTCATGTGGACAAGACGGAAGGACACAGAGGAGGATTTGGCCAATGAAATCAAGTAAGATAATTGAGATTTGTTGATTGATTTAGTGATTTCTAACATGTGTAGACATTAAGTTTTTTTTTGTGTGTGTTACAGAGAGGATGCTCAGGCTCCCAAACGCGTCTCATGGGCCAAGAGTGGCACTGGATCTGACATCATCTCTAAAAACGGCACCCTGTCCTCCATTCACACCGGCTCTTACCCACAAGACACCCAGAACCACCACCATTACCCTCACTCCGACACCGCGTCCATCCTCACGGCCACAGGGGGCAGCACAACCGGCTACCGCTCGCAGCCTCCAGCAGACGCCACACTGGAGCGCACATTGCCAGGCTACAACACCAACCCCACCCTGCCCCGTGGACCCTCGGGACCCCCCAGCACCAATGGAGGCTCCCAGCACACCTCAGTGCCACGGCCAGCCTCCGCCCAGCCTCGGATTCCACGTCCGCCTGTGCTACCCACCACCGTAACTGCTGCCAACATCTCCCGCATGGGAGGGGTACCCATTATGGTGCCGGCGCAAAACCAGGCTGGCTCTCTGGTGTAGGACCAAACATTTCTGCTCAACCTCTGAAGGGAAAGAGAGAAGAGGACATCATGTCTGCGGTCCCACAAACTGAAGCACATTGGAAAGGATGGATTGGAACCGATAAGCTTATTGCCTCTGTATGGAAACCATATGATGTAATCTTTCTTTATTTAGATTTTTTTTTTTTATATATATAGAAAAAAAAAATTAAGCAAATATATGTAAAGATGCTCATTTTATTGTTTTATAGTTTTTACTGTTCAATGTATTACAGAAAAGCCTCTACTCTCTATAAAGTGGAACTTGTTAAACAGTAAACAAAAAGACACTGACCTGGAACTATTCACTTTTTTTTTCACTTAATTTTATTTGTGTTCTTTTTTGTCATTACTGCTTTTCTGATTGTTCTTATTGAACAAAAAGATGCTAACTTGCCTTGATAAAAACAAATGAAAGGTCTATTCCACATTATTTAAAGACACTCCTCATGAATAATTGTTTACATATGTTTAATGCATATGCGATCAGTCCACCGTATTTTGCAATGTGGAAGTAAGCTATTTTGTTTGAATGGCTGCACCCACTCTTACATTAAAATGAAGGTGGATAGCATGTTTCATAGCAGCATCTGTTAAAGGGAATGTCAAGGACATCACTTAAAATGTGGCATTAAGTTGCTATATTTGCCTTTAAATGTTTTTGGCCAAATATTTAGAAATCTGTGTTATCTCTTAGAGATGTGTGGTAGCTTTTTTCAATTTAGAAGTGTAGAGTTTGGCGGTATCTTAATTTATATAGTGTTTTTGTACCCCATGATGAGATTTTAAATCTAATGTATTGTATTGAATATGTAAACCAAAATTATAAACATTCCTTTACCTTACTGTAAATAAGGTATTTATTTCTCATTCAAGGTCTGTCAAGGTCTCATAATTTCACAGCAAATAAGTTGAAGATTCTTCTAGGATACCGGATACAAAACCAAAGAGTTCATGTTCGATGGTTGTTGATGTGGGGGAAACTAGTTTTCCTTGTCATTCTTATCAGCATTGTTCCAGACTGCTAATGCTACTACAGTTAAAGCTGACAAATTCCTAACAAAATGAATGGTATCTTAAGAAATATGACCGGCAGACAGGCATTATTAGGCTGCAAATGTAGGTCATAATAAGGGTAAAAGATCCAGTTTCCAAGAAAATAAATGCACCAGTGAAACATGAACTCAAAATGGACCCTATTTATTTTCTTAATGTATGTCACTGAACATCCTGGTTTTACTCAAAAATTTGTCCTATTACAGAAGTAAAATGGGTTGCAAATGGCAGTTCATGGTCACTTTAAGTATAGCAGACCATACAATAAATCACAATCTAGAAGTATGCCAAATCATGTTGTATTTTTTTTTACCACATATTTCATAAATACTTTTTAAACAACTGCTGTATTTTTTTAAGTATGTTGTATTGTATGTACTCAACAGTGCTACTGACTGTTTTTCAAACACAAACTATTTTACTTTATTTTATTAGAAATGTTTTATTGCCTATACCCATGTCAATCTTTTTGTCATCTGCAGACTGGACAACCTCAAACTGTTCTCTATAGGACATTTATTGTATAGACATGAAAACACTTTGTAATCATATTTTTGATTAAAAGAAACCGGCTGTACAAATGCAATCTGTTCATTTACTAGGAAATGTAGTAATGTTCTGCAGAGTCCGGAATTTAGCATTTCATATATTTTTGTTGTCATTTCATATATTTTGTATGATGTTTAACATATGTATGTAGCCTATTCGTTGTGATCCAGTCCTGGCTTTATAGACCAGCAATTACCTATTTTTATGTTAATACGTACTAATAAGTAAATTAATGCACATTAAAAATCAGTCGTGCGTGCGCATAATTTTTCGCGCGCTTTTCGTTGGAAAGTGGAAAGAAGACTGGGAAGAAGACTTGCTTTAAAAAGAAGAGAGCAGAAGGTAAGATACTATTAAAACTAGTGTTTTAGGGCATTTCTAGTGACCCATTATTAATAATACTTGGAACCTAACGCGTTACGTAATATAAATAAGCCGCAAGCTGTGTAAAATGTAGTCAGGGGTCAGACTCAGTATGGCTAATAAGCTAACGTGACTGTGACAATGGTGCAACATTCAAAATTAGCAAAACATTTATTCCGCTGTTTTTTTGAATTTGATAGATTTCGGATATTGTTTTTAGACGACACAAAACATCTAACCCTGTTGCAAACAAGCTATGTGTATGAATGAATGAATTGTAATGACCTGCATAGGACTGACCTCTAGTGGAATGTTGCGGTATTATAATGAAACAGTCATTCAGGCTTTCACAGGGATTGACATTTATTGGAATTATAACTCAGCAATACTTCACATTCCTCCATGTCCCTTAGTAAATAAGAAATATATACATTAAAGATGTAAGCACAAGGCATGAATAACAGTTCTGTTAAGTAAAAAAAAATGTTTTATTAGACAAATGGATGGTCAAAGAAACCACATTATGTAGAACTGTATATTTCATACATAGGATGAAAAAAAATCTCAGGTTACCCAAAATAAGAAAAGTCAAAAAGAGGTTTCTAAAGCAAGGTTTCTCCCTATAATTTGGCATTAATGTAGAACACTAAAACATGCCGTATTTTCAACCAACATTGGCTGAAATGAAGCCACAATACTAAAACGGCAAAAGCAGAAATTATGGATGGATTATTTTCAAATGTGCTCTCGAATCAATTCATCTACGCCTTAATAAGATTGTGAATAATGCCCTTCTCATCATCACCTGTGTTCAGAACGGATGTGAATGACTGAGTAGTATGTAAAATGCCTTATGTTAGGTGTATATTTAAAAATAAAAATAAAAATATTACCTGATCGTAGAGTTAAACCGATTATCGTTCACCTGTTACCCTTACACGTTCCATATGGCTTTTGGCCCGTAGTAACATACGTAGTAGAAAACATGTAAAGCACCAGGCGCTGTGGTATGAACCTCGTGGATATGTGAATACAGGAAGGGCAGTGAGATGAGCAAGGTCAAAGGTCATTAGATAAGCAAGAGAAGGATGGTTAGATGTTCAGGGTCCCTCGCTGATACTGAATAAGGGAGCTCATGCAGCTGGGCTGGAGAACTGAGAGAGGACGAATGAAGACAGTCTCACCATCAGCACATCACGCTCAAGACATTAGGTAGGACACAGAACTGCAGGATGGAGACGTGATATTGTGTTATTGGTCTCAACACTACTAAATGTCTGTGCATGTACTTCAGATATATTTATATAATGTATTATATAGCGTTATATTATATTTAATTAAATGTAAAACCATAAAAAACTGAAATAAAATCAAATATAAAAAAACCTTCAACTTATTTCATTTCAGCTAGTTGCCAAAGCAACATTTCTCATTTCATTAAGTTTAACTTGATGCACTAAAATAACTAAAACTGAAATAAAACGTAATACTATCTAAACATATCAAAACAAAACAAAAAACTAATAAAAATGACAAAAAACCAACAACACAATTACTAAAACTTTAAAATTAAAATGAAAACTAATTCAAAAACTCAGTGATACTAAAATAATGCAGGTGAGTTATTTATGAGAATATTTAGAGGAGAACAGTGATATTCTGTGAATCCAGCTATTGAATTAAATTGAGGTAGAAATAAACATTATCAAAAAAGACAATTCCTAGCTGGTAAAATGTTTTCAAATTATAACCTGTTTCAGAGCCACAGTTAGTTTCTCTAAAATTTCTAAATAAATAATAATACTATATAAAAATTATGACAGCTAAAAACACACAAAAATTATAATAATACGAAATTATTTTTTTAAATTATTCTAATTATGAGGGGGGGGGAGTGTTAGATTTACCTTTTAATATATAGTCAGTCAGGAGGGTCGGGACCTTCTCACTGTCTTCTTTCATGGCATAAAGAACTGAAAAACAATATCAGTTGAATTAATGGTCACTACTTTTTTTTCCCTTTGATGGCCTAAATTTATTTTAGTATTAAATAAATCAGTATTAGCAAATATCATTAGTATTAGTGCAGTTCAGTACACTTACTTTTTGTGAGCATTTGCAAGTCATCCACAGATGGAGGAGCCCCTTTTTTCTCATATGGGATGACTGTGTTTAGGTACTGTCCAACATACGAATGAAAAAATAATCAGAAAGAGTTTACAATCAGATCTTATTCCTGCATGCAAGTTTAGTTCAGAACATTAACTGAAATGCTCCTCCTTACCTGTCTTTCTGTCCCTGAGGTCCCAAAGGTCTGTCTGATGCCTGTCTGCAGGATGTTGGAAAGACCCTCCATGCTGAAGCGCTGGAAAACATTAAAACATCAAATATTAAGTGCCAGAGGCTTAGAAGCTGGTAGAATTCAACTGGGGATCTAGAAATGATGAAAAAAATTCTGAAATGATTGTGCATCTTAACAAATATTAATTTAAAAAATAATAATAGTAGCCATTTATCAATTATCAGCCATGACATGGCTATACAATAATTTATTGGCTAAAATCCTAAGCTTCTGAGTTCAGGAAAAAAGTGCAAACATAATATATTAAATTTCAGCTTCACAATTTGCCACATTTACTAACTCTAACCACTGTGTACAGAATAACTAAAATGATCAACTCATCCCTGTGAGAACATGGAGGATGAGGACACAGAGATGCAGTTCTTGCATGATGTAATGAAATCACAGTGGCATTACTTGTATTGCCTTCACAGCTCATACTGCAGGGGAATGCTTCCTCTGCTCTTCCAGTAAGTGCTAAGTGCAGCTGAAGAGTAATGGGGCGAGATCCATTAAACGGAAAGAGATGTCTGTGCATGGAGACTGAATGGAGGTAAACATCATGCAGTTCATTTCAACACACGTACTTTTGCAGGCATGCTCCCAGTCTTCTCGGAGCGGGCAGGTCCTTGTAGACTCACGGCCTTGTCCTTACGCCTGTGCTTGCTCAGCTCCCTTTGCTCCTTCTGTCTGTTCTGGACCTCCATCAGAGCTGTGATGAAGGTATTCTTCACCTCCTTCTCAAACTCCAGCTCATCCCTCCGGGCCAGCTGGGTCACCAGTTCCTCCGAATACTCTCGTATCGCCGCCTCCATTCGACACAAGATGTCAAGCAGCGCCGAGCTTGGCATCAGCCTCAGACCTGCATGACAAACATTCAGTTTAAAAAGACTTGATCAAAGTGAGCAACACTTGACTTTCACACTGTGACTAATGTTGTGACGTAATGTTTCTTTAGTGTCGTTCTCAGTTGACATGGGCTATTTTTCATTCGCTTTTACTCTACTGCATCTTTGGTTTCAAAAACATGATCTGTTTCATCTGTCCGTGGGATGAAGAAATGCTGAAACAACATAGTTTAAAATAGAAACCTTCCCTATATACTCGATAGGCACCTGTTTCATTTCCTGGGGAGCATGTTTATATTGACCTTGATCTGGTAATATAAAAATTAGACTTTTGCTGACAGACATCATGCTTGTATTTTATCTATAAAGATAAAGATAATCAGTCCCCTGTCCATGAACTGTATTTATCAAATACAGAATTCTGGCATGAAACTCTAGATGGCGCAGTCCGATAGGTCTAACTCAATCTGACCTAATGACATCATTATCACATGGCACAGCTGATTGGATATCGCCTGTATCAGTAGCCAATGAGCTCGCTGCTCACCATTCAAAAATATGACTAGTGCTTGCCGTAGCAGTTGCAGCTTGCTTCAGAAACCCTCCACCTTCCCCAGCTCCACCTGTATAGATCTGCTACGAGGTGATTCATGTATGCTATATGGGGGTTATTTCATGTATGTTATATTTGCAGACCTGCCAACCTTGGAAAGTTTTTTTGAGTACCATCAGTGCGGCCGGGGGGGAGGGGGGTGGTGGGGGTTTGCAAGATTTAATGTTAAATATATTTTCTATTTTTTATAGGTTAATAATCAGGGTCTGCACTCAGTTTGTGATATTCCTGTTATACAGTATTTCAGAGTAAACAGTAGGGATGCAACAATACAGTTAGCCCACGGTTAAATAAATACCTCAGTTTTTTTTTTTTTTACCACAGTTTTTGGTTTAGTTATTTTTTGCTATTTTTAAATGCTATTTAAAAAAAGAATTAGTATTTTTATGGATTGGCCATTATTTAGTGCTATGAACACATGTAATGTGTGTTTCATTCACACTGGACGCCTGAGGGCGCCCTCGCGCAGAAAATCCACATATACATTATAGAAGAAATAGAACTCAGGACGCTCCAGGAAATCCCTAATATGGACAAAAACAGCCAGCTATCGCTGTAACTGAATGAAAGAAGACAGAAACGCTTTAAATGATGACGTTCAAAAAGAACATTAAGATAATAAACACTGTACTGCGACAATGTTTATCTGTGTTCTTAAAACCACCTTGAGTATTTAAATAATTAAGTAACGTTATATTTATAATCCACTGCTAATCGATTTAGCCGTTATTCCAGTGTAGAATATATTTCTGCGTCATTCTGTGATGAGAAGCCACATCAGATCAAGAAGGAAATTTTTTTAAACATTTGTCTGATGTTGTGCAGTAAAAGAATGTTATAATGTTCTTTTTTGTTGTTGGACAAAAGGTTTAGTCATTACAAGGGAAGATGCTCGGCGTGTGTTGCTTTTCCACATCTCAGCGCGCATACTCACGGACACACAAACAGAGCCAGCTTGGAGATAAATAAAACGCACGGAAATTTAAAAGCAAAACCTAAAAAAACGGTCTGATTGGTTGAACTCTTCATCTTTTTCTGTCGCTTGTTTTGAATACTGCATGTGGACAGAGGCGTCACCAGGTTTTTTGCGTAGTTTAGAGTGACAAATCGTACCAGCGTACTTTGAGGTCAAAATGCGTATCTGCTACGCAAAATGCATACAGGTTGGCAGGTCTGTATTTGCAGCAGCATGTTGTGGATGTATTGGCAGTAGCAAGTCTCGGTACTTGCTCTGCCGCAGCAGCAGCAGCAGCGTAGCAGATCTATTCCGCCAAGACCAAATACATTAACATTGTCATGTACATTACCATGCCAATCCCTCCGAGAGTTGTCAAGACAGAATTACATTTAAAGCAGTATTTGTTTGAGTGTTCAAACTTTTTATCTAGTTAGTTTAAATCTAGTTTCATCTGAAGATTCATAAAAAGTTTCACAAGTCAGCCTGAGGTTCACATATATTAATTAACTGCAGGTTTGAACGAGCACCTTCATAGGAGCAGTTGTTGTTGGAGGCCTGAGACAGCATGCGGATCTCCTCCAGTAGAGAGGGACTGCTTTTAGAGGAAGACACCCCGATATCATCCTCCTCCTCTTCCTCTGTCTCTCCAGGATCTGGTGAGTTTTCCATCATCTCCACAATCTCCTCAATCACCTGGTGAGAGAATAAATGACAGATATTTCAGTGGGCGTTTAAACAATTTTGAGGACACAACAGAACTGTAGCTTTGAATTTTAGCTTTGTTTGCAATAAATAAATGAAGCACACTTGATTTTAAATATAGCAAAGCTTTAGGTTACTGTTCAAGCGTAAACCTGCTCGATGTACAAATACAGTATTAGGCTAAATGTATCAACCATTAGTATCTCACAAATGCCACAAAATGCTGGCACACTAATTTATTAACCTTTTGATGCATTAATTGTTAAACGCAAAAATAATCCTGTACTATAAACAGCGTATAATCATTAAAAAAAAATTTGACCAGTGCAACACATTTGTTTATATTGTGTAAAAAGAAAACAGACAAAAATCACTATTTTTTTAAAGGCAGCTGGAAAATTTTAGGCTCACCTGATCAGCTGTAATAAGAGGTTCTTCACTCAAACAGTTGGCATTGTCATTCTTCTCGTTCATCTCATCCTCTTCTTTTTCATGGATCTTTAAAACCAAGACAAATACGTTCATGAAGAGCTTCTCAACATGTTTAGTAGCACCTGCTATATCAATATGACAAGATGGCAAAGAGTAATGGCTCCATATAGTTCCATTACACTCATTGGTAATGTGTTGAAGAGAGTGCATTCAAATGTTATCTTGGCAGCTCTTCTGGCCTGCATTGATGTACAACAGAGTCTTGACTAAACTAGTCAAAAGCTAGCATTAGATTACCTCATTTCACATCTGACCAGTTGCAGTAGTTGGTAATTAGTGTAATATTATGTAAAGACTGTAACTGACTCATTTCACATGGTGACAAAATATAAAAGAATATACAGAAATGCCAGTTAGTCATGGACATTATTCAGAGCTTCTGTGGGATTTTTTGTTGTGACTGTTTATTGCAAAGTGTGTGACAGGCTGATTGCCAGAGAAAGTAGATCAGGTTGGGTTTTTGGCAGCGAGTGACTGTATCTGCCGTCCATTTGGCATAAATATACACACCACACCCTGAATCAAGAGGGCAAAGCTGTACTCTCATATAGTGCTACAGTCATTTGCTCAGAGCAGAGGAAATAAATGCTTTTTCAATGTAGGAGAAAGATATTCCAAGATGTTTCAAGAAAATATAGTTCAAGATATTTGATGGCCAATGCATCAGTGATAACTTCTTTGCAACATAATTCAGTTCCATTAATATAATTTAATTAATATTATTAATAAATTACCTTTAACAATAAATAGTATTTATTGATATTAACCAAATAATAATATTAATACCAGGAGTAATCTAAATAGTAATATCATTGTATGATAAAATTCACATTATAATATTAAATTACTATAAATAATGTCATATAATCATATAAGTATAAATATATATAAGTCTGCATTGGTAAAAGGTTTGTTGTCCCTAACACGTTATTGTACTCTAACTTATAGTCATGTTCTATAGCACTAATCTATACAGTAACCCTGCAGTATATTATCATGCCAACACCATGAATGTTATCAGAGCAGAGCAGACATTTACCTCCTGGTCTGAGAGGTTGCCGTTCAGTGTTTCTGAGGTGGGGTCGTCCCAGCTGGACACAGAGGAGGGGATGTAGTTGTCAGTCAGAGCATCCCACACGCTACAAAAACATGGACATTTATATGCACAATGTTCCAACCGACACACAATGAAAATGGAACAAACGAGACATTCGTTCTCAGAATTATGAATAATGCATTCTTTAACAACACCTTTAATAAGCACTCACTTCATTAACTGAGGAATTTCATGTATATGTATCAATTATGATTTGTTAGCACTGAGAAATATAGAGCATTAGTTTTATGTGCACATGTTTATTTTAAGATGTTCTTTACGTAGCTGGTTTGCATATTTATATAACTGGGCTAGTGACAGTGCTTTCTTTCTCTTTTCTATCTGTTTATCTACATACTGAAATTACTCTCCACACTTTCTTTGTGCCTCTGTCTAGTCATCCAGGGAACAAGTGGCCATTCAAAATGTGCTGATCCTCTGAGGGCACACAGACACAAGCCTACCAGCCTCCATTCCTGCCCTGCAACAACACCAAACTGGTACAGACTCATCATCTACCCATATGCCATTGTCAGGAGTTTAATTTCTGTTTGCAACATCTTATCTAGAATATTTACCAACCACAGATAAAAATAAATAAATAAATAAAATACTGAGAACTGCAGCAGGCTGGTTTCTGTAATTCGTCAGATGCACAGCCACAGGCTGAATTCTAGCACAGGGACAGATTTGTGTCTGAATGCAAGCCAAGAACAAAAGCCACAGGCAAAGAGAACACATCACAGTGGGAAGCGCAGAAAAATAACATGCTAACAAATCATAAATCAACGACATATTTACAGCACAAACTATGAGAGTAATGAGCAAGATGCACAAATACAGGAAAACCCAGTGACATGTTCATTTTTATCTCTTACAAGGCTACAAAAAGGATAAAACATTTTGATTTAAATCTCATTTTCTGTCATTTTTATGCTCTTTTTTTATTTACTAGCTAATATTTGTGTATATTTTTGCCATTACAGTCTCAATCAGTGATGATGATTTGACTGTTTTAAATTGACAAGAATGTGCGCTATATTTAGACCAAGGGATTTTTTGTCCTATTTTGCGAGAGGCAGATTTGATGGCAGAGAGAGGATGGTGACAGGCTGCCAGCACAGACAAGTCAGGACAAACAAAAGCACCAAGGTGTATAAAATTTTGCTGAATAATTCACGGCCAAACCACGGACACACGCACACAGACAGGCTCTGGTGATGGACAATGGGTGTTTTTATAAAGTTTGATTGGCAGGCCTGTCAGACATGTCCTCACTTTTGATTTGCAGAGAGACAGCCTGGATGGGCATATTTATCAGCACAGTCATAACAGTATCCATACTAGATTTTTTTGGTGGTGCAAAAACATGATGCTAAATGCATCAAACTTCATTCAAAATTCATTAATTCATCTACCTACATGTATTTACTTGACATATATTAGGAGTGGAACAAAAAACGATCTTACTCTTCATCTTGAAGCCTCTCTTCATCCTCCTCGGCGTGTGATTGGTTGCGAACAGGGGCCAGACCTTCTGTCTTGGTGTTGTAATTGTGGAAGCACACATTCAGCTTCTCGTCAAATTCATTGACGAGGTCCTCCATGGACTTGAAGCTCATCATCTCAGAGAAGTTCTCCAGCTCTGAGAACTCTTCACGGTACAACGGGGCCAGAGGAATGGTTTTGTGAGGCCGGCAGGCAAGCTGCTCTGGTTCGAGCTCGTCCATCTTGCAGGGCCGCAGATCCTCGAATTCCTCATCCAGGCAGACCAGAGGGGCCTCCATCCTGATGCCCTCTTGATCGCACGTTGAGGTTGCCGCTGCTGCTGCAACAGTCCCTAATTAAAAATATGATTATTGTCAATCTTTCATTCAAAATCTCAAATCATCATCTAAAACATAAAATGCGGATTTAAAATGTGGAGTAATTCAAATTGATTTTTCACTTCTCAGCTAAAACTGTATTTGGATATGAAATATTATATAACAGCAATGGCTTCCTCAGAGGCAAGAACATTTTGTGAGGCTTTTTTAACTATGAACATTTGGACTATGAAATACAGTTTTTCTCAGATGACATCTCGTTAAATTAATTATCTTCCTTTCCACTAAGCGAGCAGGGAACAAGAATGACTGCATTTCGCTCAAGCAGAGTGAAAGTAATTGTGTTTAATTTGCATGGTGGTTGCTTCAGCAGAACCTCTGGGATTTCCTTTTGACACAATCTGTATTGTTAAAAGCGCTATATAAATAAAGGTGACTTGACTTGACTTGACTTTAATTTGCATGGTGGTTGCTTCAGCAGAACCTCTGGGATTTCCCCCAATGAATTCTGGGACTGTGAGGCAGCCAGAGTCAACCTGCAATTATAGCTAATTCAAATTCACTTTCTCAAACATATGAAAATATATATATATACTGTATGTAGAAATATTTACGTTAGCTTTTTTTCTGCAATTATTACTGCCTTATAATACACTCTATATCAATTTAATATTTTAACATTTATTTTTAGCAAATTAAAAGGTACAATATGAGCGTTTCTAGGCAAAAATGCATCTTGTTATATTCTGATTCACCCAAAACAAATGCTTTTCACATTCTATTCAGCTCAAGATGACTTCCACAAAGATTCGCTCTTCATTGAAATTAACAAGTTCAGGTTGAGACGAGAGTTATTATAACATCAACCCTTTAGTTCCTGCATCCTTTTTTGGCCTATGATCTGACAGTTCCCATGAATGAGCTCAACAGGCTTTATCAGGCATAACATCAAGCTAAAAGACTGCAGGATAAAAATCCATTTAAAACAGGCTTGCATAAGCTTTTACCCCAACATTACATTGGTCCGCAAAGTTCCATTCCACTAATACACTCTTTTACTTTACCCTAGTAAGTATGTGTCTGTCTGTACTATGTCAGAATTAAGGGAATGACCTTTTTTCACTTCCTGGTTTTTGGCTACTGATTGATTTGTTTATCCACCACCCATAATTCTGTGCCTATGGCCAAAACCCATTCAAAAAAACCAAAGCACAGAGGTAATTCAATGTTACAGTGATAAACTACTGCCCCTCATTCACACTTCCTGAGTAAAGTGGTGGGATTGAGCAGGAATGTAAATAGCATATCGATGGAACAAACTGTGGCCATGGAATAAAACACTTTTGCTGTGGGACCTCTGCTGAGAGTGACGTCATCTAAATGTGCATTACATTCATATTTATCACTGTGCTGAAAAATGCAAGAGATATTTCTCAAACGCACTACATAGAGGATAAATTTGGATCACAGCATGAATTTGTGAGTGCCAGTTAACGGTGCTTGCAGCAGGTGTGACCTATGTTGTGAAACATGAAAATGAACACAACCATGTCACAAGATAAGATTAATTGATGAGCTATGATGGGAAGAAATATGGCGGATCACATCATAAAGCATGGCAGAGATAAAATACAACATCACCCTGTATCGTTTCTAATGAAGAATTTTTAACCATTTTTTTTAGGTCACACCACATGGATTTGAAAATATTATTTTTGATTATTCAAATGTAAGAACAATATTCAAATTGTGCAATACAAAAATAACAATTATATTTTTTCTAGAAATATGTGCAGAATGAAAATGAAAAAAAGGGATGGATGCAGAACGGATGGAGATCAAGCTTACCCCATTTCCCAGTGGGAATAATGGGAAAACAATGGCGGGATGGAGACGGAGTGATGGAGGAGAGAGAGAGAGAGGAACAAATTACCTGCAGAAAAATCTCTCCTTGTGTATCTGGTTAGAAACAGCCCCTCCTGTTCCAATATAGTCAGAGAGAAACCACCATCAGCAAATCTTGGTCAGGATGAAACAACAGCAGACAAAATCATTCCCATCCCACACACAGAAGCTCCGTGTCGTGATGGCCGCTGTTCTAGTCCACGGCGTCTTGTCTAAGCCAGTCAAGGCTCAGAGTGTTGTTTTCTGAGCATTAGCAGCTCCTGCTCCATGGAGTCTGCGCATTGCTACGGCAACTGACGGAATCATCCTCCTCGCCGCCCCTCCCCCTTCTGCTCCTCTCCTCATGCACCTCACTCTCTCCGCCCCTTACCCCTCCCGCTCCCTTTCTCTCAATCTGCCATAAGCCAAGTCCCTCCATATTCATGAGGAAGGGGGAAAATAGTGAGAGGTACTGGAGAGAAGCTGTTCTGGGCCTTTTAGTCACACCTTGAACTCACTTGTCATTGGCCACATCAGGGGTCTCTTGGCAGGATCCCCTTCTCATTATCCCTCAAAGCACGCTCAAGGGATTTTCAATGAGGAAGCCTTGCTAACAGCATGTATGCCGGTTCCTTACTGTCAAGTAATTCCTATTGAAATAAAAGCTATACATTTGGCAAGATTACAGTATTTTAATAATGTTGTGGAGTCATACAGAGTAATAGTATAGCATAGTAGGGTCCAAAAGTCTGAGACCACTATGTGAAAATGCTTCTGTATTGTATTTTTATAATAATTTAATAATAAAAAAAAATTACAAGGGATATTATTGGTATAACAATTTAAGTGAAAAGTTAAAATTAACATATTGTCAAATGTCACAAATTTGGTTATTTGATTAGTGACCTATAGAATGTTTTATTGAAGTCTACATTTGTTTGTTTAAATAACGTTTATGTTATTTCAATATCTAATATCAGGTAGTGGATGATTTTAATTGTTCATACTCATTTTCCCTAGTTTTACATTTAGATTGCCTTTAAAAACTTTAAATACACTAACAATTTAATAACACTTTTAAATGTAATCTTTTGCCAATCTCAAAATAAATATCTATTTTTCTTATAATGTACATCATAATGTTGTGATCCCCAAATTCCTTTGCCTTGTATTTATTTATTTATTTATTTATTTAGTTGACAGGGACATTGTACATTAATAAAACATTCCTGTAAATGTACCAGAATTAGCCAAGGCTATTTTACATCCGTAGTCCCTGGACAAGATGTTACAAGTCACCCTAAAATAAAATGTAATTAAAAATACATACTAAAAAATGTTATAACTACATAGTTCAAATCATACAGTATTCTATTAAAAAACAATGGGATCAAATAAAGACAATGCAAACAAGATACAATCAATAATAGGATAGCTAGCAAATATAAAATTCTAGTGTTGACAAATCTGAGTATGAATTAACCAATTCTTCAACTGAACCCTAAATAAAGCATATGTGTCTAGAACTCGTATAGTTGTCGGAATAGTATTCCATTCTCGTGCAGCAATCACAACAATTGATTTTAGTTTTTAGTGTTTTATTTTTTTATTTATTTAAACAAAATAGAATAGAATTTTAATAATGTGCTGTTTATCAGTTATCGGACATGACGTGAAAATAATTATGGTAACACTCTACAGTAAGGTTTCATAACATTAGAACTAACAATGAACAGTACTTCTACAGTATTTATTAATCTTAGTTAATATATTTTTAAAATCAAAAGTTGTATCTGTTCAATCATCATTTGTTAATACACTTTGAACAAACGGGCAAAATACGCTGTTTCCGGCTAGATTTGTCTGACTCTGTAGGCCATCCAGCGAGTCAGAAAGACTGAGAAATGCAGCAAAGACAAAGACTGTGGCTTATAGGAACTGATGGGGCATAAAGAACCCGTTTAGTTTGGCCGTAGTATTGCCCAGTTGCCCTTTACGTCACACATATCCACACCTCCCATGTGTAATGCCCCTCTCCCTGCTGCCCTATATCCTTCACGGCTTTTAATCAGCGTCTCAGCCTGTAGAAAGACACATACAGTTAGAGACGTTCTCCAGCATGCATGTGTCTGCATGCAAACAAGCTGCTTAAAATGGTCGTGCCATATTCCAGGGATTAGCATCTGATTTTGTGGATCACAGACAATGCTTTCACAGTTTTGAGCAGATGACTGTGGGAAACAACAAAAGTGTGGCACACACTGCTTTAAAGGCAGAGTAAGTGATTTCTGGTAGCCAATGTTGATATTTTTGTTCCGCAGACGTTTTCCTCTTTTGTTTTTTATCCGCCATCTCTATCTTTCTGTTGCTCGGCTCAGCTAATGTCGGTCCCATGCACTGAAGCGCGAGTAGACACGCCCCTTATTGCTGATTGGCTACAAGTTTGTTTTGCTATTCGGCCCGAATCAGTTTTCTAAAGTGTTTTTGAAAAATCACTTACTCTGCCTTTAATAGAGCTTAGACATCACAGGATGTCTGGTCCTTATATAGTAAAGCTTCCTGTCCATGTGGCCAGATTTACTCCGAAATGCATTTCGTTGCTAGAAGCATGCAGTGTGACTGAAATACAAATGCAGGTGTATTGCTTGCTACTGGCTGCTTGAATACGAACTGTTAATAATTCTAGCATGCTTTAATATATTTGATAGTTTAGGACAGTTGTTGGCTGCATGCATGTGGCACTGCTTTGTCTATCAGACTTTAAACCATGTGAGTCCATTAATGGTTAATAAGGAGGAGGAGAGAGCAGAAAGTAACAGTAGTGGGTCTTTATGAAGGGGGAGGAATATTCTACAAAGCTCAAAGACAAATATGACTTAATCTCCTATGGGAGTGTCAATCATTGTCGAATGTATTCAACAATTACAAAACTGTTAGATCATAAATCGGCCTATTTTTATCATCAAAATTATTTCGATGCAGAGACCTTTTCAAAGCATCTTTCAAAACCCCTTCCACTTGCCAAAACGAAAAAAGTCTTTATTAAAAAAAAAAAAAAAATTTAAACCACAGATCATCTCATACCCCATGTTTGCTTTCCATCCATATTACATACTGCAATAACATTTGACGAAAAAAATAAATAAATGAGAATTACACACAATGACCTGATTTCCTGTGCAAGACTCCCCCTTCTCACACAGATGCAATGCTTCTCCAGAACACAGTCAAAAGACTCGGAATGACGGAGGCCCCATCGCCATGGTAACCGGGTTTGTGCAGCTGAGCATTGCGCTTGGAGCAGTTGCTGTGGTTATTGGTGAAGGATTGGAACTGGCCCATTATCTCCACGCCTCCACCGAAGGCCTAATAGGTCTGAACAATGTGGCCGCTGGATTTATTGAGCTAAGATGTTGTTTCAGCTGACATTTAATATTTATGATGTGATGGCAAGTTACTGTATGTACTACATGAAGCTGGGTCAAAACAACCCAATTGCTGGGTTTGTCCCTATTTTACCCAGCACTGGGTTGTATTTAACCCAGCATTTTTTAGAGTGTAACATTTAATAATAATTTATTATTTTTAGCAGAAGTAATAATAACAAAAAATAACATTATTTGTATTTTATTACCTTTATATTATTTCGACTAGTGCCTTTTTATAAATCAGATTGAATTTTCCAAAATGAAAAGTGATTTTATTCCTCACAAGGAACAAAACAGCCTCCCTGAGGAAAACATATGTTGTACGGCTACTCTATATTGTGTGACAGATTCAGTTCAGGATTTGAACACAAAGACTTGTTTTTTTTCTCCTCAGTCCTCATTAGTGTCTATGGGCTTGAATTCTGCAGATGTAGAGAAAGAGGTATGATCAATACTCATCCAGGTTTCTCTTCTCAGCTTCAGAATTCTCTTGGAAAATACAGCTGTCAGCACCACGGCCAGCCAATCAATAACAACGTACAGTACATCTCCTCAAAGCCAGAGGACTGCACACACTATTGAAAACTCATCGGCTAAGGTATCTGCCTTTATACTTGTTCATCTGGAACATTTTACAGTAAGTGAGTAATAAAAAAACGTATACCTAAATGTCTACAGTTTGGAGTAGGTAAGGTTTTTGAAAGTCTCTTATGCCCACCTTACCATCAAAAAATATAGTAAAAACAGTCATGTGATTAAAAATTTTTTTTTTTTTTACTATTTTGATATATTGGGAGGAATATTCTACAAAGCTCAAAGACAAATATGACTTAATCTCCTATGGGAGTGTCAATCATTGTCGAATGTATTCAACAATTACAAAACTGTTAGATCATAAATCGGCCTATTTTTATCATCAAAATTATTTCGATGCAGAGACCTTTTCAAAGCATCTTTCAAAACCCCTTCCACTTGCCAAAACGAAAAAAGTCTTTATTAAAAAAAAAAAAAAAAATTTAAACCACAGATCATCTCATACCCCATGTTTGCTTTCCATCCATATTACATACTGCAATAACATTTGACGAAAAAAATAAATAAATGAGAATTACACACAATGACCTGATTTCCTGTGCAAGACTCCCCCTTCTCACACAGATGCAATGCTTCTCCAGAACACAGTCAAAAGACTCGGAATGACGGAGGCCCCATCGCCATGGTAACCGGGTTTGTGCAGCTGAGCATTGCGCTTGGAGCAGTTGCTGTGGTTATTGGTGAAGGATTGGAACTGGCCCATTATCTCCACGCCTCCACCGAAGGCCTAATAGGTCTGAACAATGTGGCCGCTGGATTTATTGAGCTAAGATGTTGTTTCAGCTGACATTTAATATTTATGATGTGATGGCAAGTTACTGTATGTACTACATGAACCTCCAGTTGTTTTTGTAGGGCAAGATGGTAGTTTGACTCTGCCACTGAAACCTTTGATGGAAAATCAGTAAACTAAACAAAATTAAAGTGGCAATAAAATGTTTAATAAAAAAATCCAACCATTCTTTTTTATTAAAATAGGCCTAATAATACACTCTAAAAAATGCTGGGTTTATACTTGTTCATCTGGAACATTTTACAGTAAGTGAGTAATAAAAAAACGTATACCTAAATGTCTACAGTTTGGAGTAGGTAAGGTTTTTGAAAGTCTCTTATGCCCACCTTACCATCAAAAAATATAGTAAAAACAGTCATGTGATTAAAAAAATTTTTTTTTTTTACTATTTTGATATATTTTAAAATGTAATTTATTCCTGTTATGGTATTTTCAGCAGCCAATCATTCTAATAGGCTGATTTGGTTCTCAACAAACAATTCTTATTATTTTTGTTGAAAGCAATTGTGCACCTTAATATTTTGTGGAAACTGTGATACATTCATTGATGTACAGTGTAGCTGATAATATATGTAAAATGAATACATTGTAATCCTATTATCAAATTGGCTATAAAGTGTATTGCTGATTGGGCAAATGAGGTTAGTCTTCCCTCTAGGGGTTATCAAGAGCTACTGCTGACTGATTTTCAGCATTTAGAAACTCGATTAACCTCAAAAAGTTTCATTTTACCATGCAAATCAAATTGTTTTGGAGAAAAATGAAAAAATGAAACTGGAGTTTATTAAAGGTAAAAGATACTAATTTTAAGACCAGTTCAAACTCCTTTAGCTCTTTTAAGAGATATTTAAATATATATAAAAGATAGACCTTGTGGATTTTTATTTAATGAGAAATATTCACAATGGCAGCACTATGTATAAGACCATAAAACAGCTTACTTTACACAACTTATTTTTCCAAACTGAGTTCCATTGCTGGTGAAAAGACGACACGCAACACTGAAAGTTTATATGAGGGAAAAGATGAGCGTTTTTTTTCTTCTTCTTTTTAATCTGAGGAATCAAAGTAAAAACAAAATGTCATATACAGCACAAGTACTGAAAGAGCAGTTAGGCTGTGTCTGTTCTGCACTCATATTTTACATTAGCACAGTTCTAGAATCTTCTAGAATCCATTTTGCAAACTCTGCTAGTACCTTAGAGCGATTTCTAAATTATTTCAAAATCATATACTTACAGTTCTGCAAATATATACTGTACATACATAATATTAATATAGAAATATGGTTATCTAATGCCATTTTAAGCAGCACTTTTTTTTGCACAATGATAAATGTAAAGAAAGTTAGGAAACAACTAATTCTTTGTTCCTTCTTTGTTTTGAAAGGATACACAGTGCTAATTTGTAAAACCATATACGTGAAGTCAGTAAACACAGTGTGGCACATAGAGCCATGAGTATTCTGCAAAGAGATGCTTTAGATCTATTTAGACAGCGGAGGGATCACTTACACATAGAAATGTGAGCTTTAGCCCTCTGTGACAGGCCATGCCATCTTTTACTAGTTTGACACCAAAAGCAAGGGTTCTTTACATGCTATGCAAAAAAAAAGAGGGGAAAAAAGGCAATTTTATCAAACAATATCCGGAGCCTAGTGTGTGATCAGTATGTCATGATCTTTCTTCAAACACATCACATATCTAGATCTTAGTTAATGTTCATTGCCGGACACAAAGATCATTTTCTACTTAAGTGAATGGAAGTACTAACAGAAGACCAATATTGTGAAATTGCAGTCTCACAGAAGGCAGCTCATTGTGATATGATTCATCTTGATTTTTCGGACAGATAAACACCCCCACGGTCCTAACACGACAAGAAATAATCACGACAATGAGAGCCACAAACAAGGCAGCCGTAATGAGCCTGCAATCTCAAAATGGATATGCATCCCTTATACTACGCTAAGTGTTAATACTTTTCATCCTGATCACACACTTTATCAGTATTTGCTAAGCTGTACTGTTATGGTCAAAGATTTCTAAGTACATATTGGTTAGTGACTGGTTAGAAATGTGACGTACTATGAAAGTTGATCTCCAGTGTTGGTAAAAATGAGAACTAAAATAAGATATTAATGCCACCTGAATTCTAGAAATGACATGAATTAAAGAACATTAAACATTAAAACAACCAATGATAACTTAGTAACGCTTTAAAATAAGTTTGTTTCTATAGTTAATCCTTTAACATTTATTAATCTTGATTAATGTTAACTTTTACATAAAAATAGTAAATTTTTACTTTAAACGTTTGTTAACATTAGTTTATTAGCCAACACGAACTAACAAATAAGCAGTTGAATCATAATTAATTTATAAATAAACATTAACTAAGATTAATTTTTAGTTCTTGAAACCTAAGGCATTAACTAATGTTAGCACTTTGAACCTTATAGTAAAGTGTTACCCAACAACGTCAAACATTTTGGTTTCCCATACCAAAACATCAACAGCAAAAACACTGAATTAAAATTCTATTTTTTTAGACACTTTTAAAAACATGGCAAGGAGCTTGTTCGTATAATGTTATATCATTATATCAGCACAATCTGACAGATAAAATAAAAATAAAATTCAGGTGCATTTCAGTTTAGCTACATACCTGTATAGAAATGAATTTGGTTTGTTTGCTGAATCTAAGCAGAAATGTTTACGTAATTTTGGGCTGATATGGAGACACTGAAATCACATTGGCAAAAACCCTGAAGTGCTTATAATTTATCTTCCGGAATGGCAACAAAAGTAAAAAGGCATGTATCGGTAAGTATATTAAAAAATGCACTAAAAATATGAATTAGTTAAACACCATTTCATTCAAAACAGAAACGGAATACTGTATGCAATGTATATGTTATGAAAGAAAACAAATCTACAATAACAAAACATTCAATACAGAATTAATTTTAAAAAGGCTGTAAATGGAAGATGGAGAGTGGAATGTGTTGGTTTTGTCTAGATGGGCTGCTGAAATGTTTGAAATAAATATACAGAGTCAATTAAATTCAGGGTGGCGGGCAAAAAGTAAACAATCTCAGAGGAACCGCCAAGAAGAATTTGTAAATATCGAATTGTGGTTTTTGGAATCAGTGTTTTTACTTTTCATATTCATCCCTTTTTAAAAGCAACTTAATAAGAACTTGTTGATCATAAACTGGTATGTTTAAAAATGTTAAATATCATGTTTACTATCTATTTTGGGAGCACGCAGCTTCTTTAAATCCACACACACACACACTCTCTCTAACACACACGAGATGATGAGAAGACATGGTTGGGTTTAGTCGTCCTCCTCTTTAGCTTGAGAGAGTGCTTTCTCTGAGCTCGCCGAGCCCTCGAAGCGCTGGGAGGCGATGGCAGCTTGATGGGACATGCTCTTCCTCACAATGTCTCCCTTTCTCCATAGCGTAATCTCCTAAAAATCCACAAAAGTGTCAATTCCTACACAAAACAGATCATGCTCTGGGCATTTAATAGTTAAAATATCACTACTGCTATGGAAACGAGAATGAATCCTTAGAATCAAAGTGGTCAAAGTAGTTATTTCTGGACATCAATAATGAAAATTAAAGTGCCTTTGATCATATAGTCTAATTGTTTTCACATTTAGTTTGCTATTTTTTATTTATTAATTTAGTATAAAGTAAAGACCAACCTGTTGTTTGAAGTAACGTCTCTCTTCTTCATCAATGAGTACAAGATTCAGGTAATAACGAACAGAGAATTTCTTATTAATGTCCCTCATGGTGGGCGTCATCTCGTACCCAGCCAGAAAAAGACGGATAGGGATGGATTCACCTAAAGCCAGTAAAGATAAAGTTAAAAATCAGTACACTCCATTTCAACATTGAAAATACGAGTCACTTGTAAATGTTGTATGTTTCACATTAATCCATCAGAAACGTAATCCTTATAAACGGAGGTGTTAAGAATTGTTTCATACCTCGTACAGGTGCTCCATCCATTATCTCGTATTTTGCAATGGTGTCATTTTCATGGTACACATTTGGCCCTGTCCCTGTTGTCTCCCGTTTAATAATATCAATCTCCATGTGTTTGATCTTAATTCGCACCAACAGGAAATAGATCTTCCCTACAATCACATCTTTCAGGTGATACCTGTCATTTTAGGTTAAAAAAACAAACAAAAACAAAACAGGGAAAAATGCAAGCAGGATATCAGTGGATGACAAATTTAAATTATATGAACTGTTTTAAGTTAAAACCATAAACTCACATTCTCTGGCTGTTTTGACTTACTTGGACTTGTTGTACTCAAACTCAATGTGTAGACAGTCCTCAATTCCCACCTCCATCTTTATGGAGGAGTTGAGTTCTGGATATGTGCTGAGTGTGTGCACTACAATGTCCAACTCTTTGCAGACGTCATTAAGTCTCCTGCTGATGGTCGCCCGCAGGAAATAGCTGTAGGAAGAATTAGAGTTTAAAATAAAAGCATCTAAACCAACATCAAAGAGAGTTAACTGTCAACTAAGTGCACAATATATTGTAGGAGCTCATATAAACAATCTTTCCAGAGCTACACAACGGGAACATACCGTAGTTTTACATTCTGGCCTGTGTAGGACTCGTACGGTTTCTCCACGTGTGTGAACTCAAAATCAAAGGTCTGAGATTGAGCCATTTCTCCAGGCCGAGCTAAATCCTTAACCAGAGAGACAAACTCATGATGGTTTCCTCTGTCGAAGTACAATTCTAAGAAAAAGCCACAGGAGCGAAAAATGTTACTAGATGCACAACTTTTGGCATGGTTTCTTAATAAAATGTTCATATTTTGTTTGTGTATTCTGTTTTCAAGTGAGAACAATTCGTTAAGGCTTTGCGTTTGTTAGGTTTGCCAGGTATGGAACAACACAGCGTTATGGGGTCAACTATGCCTTTAATATACAATAAATAAGGCTGTATAAAGATCTTGATCAATTAAATAGGCGTCAGGTGAAAAAAAGACATTTTCTTCCATATAAGTTTCTTCACATTTCTTTGAAATGCATTAAGTTTTAAATACATAGAACAGGGAGAAACAAGCATATTTTAGGGAACCCGTTCATTAGTGAAAATAAAAACAGGATTCATAGCTTGTGACGAGCATCTAGGGGTGTGGTTCCTATTATACCGCCTTTTTTACTAGAGATTGGAGTCGACTCATTTCGGAGAATCGGTTCTTTTGAACAATTCGTTTCAAAGAACGGGATAAAATAACTTATTTGTTGCACATACTAGTACTGCTCATTATGGGTTTTATTTGTAAGAGTGTTTTATTTTTCCATTTAAACTGTTCCACTTCAGTTTGTTGCAGCCATGATTCAGCTAACATCGCGACATTTATTTAGAACCTAAATATAATTTGCATTTACATTAAACAATAATAAAATGTTATTTATCGTTCTTAACTGAAAAAGTTAAGGCTATTTTTAAGTCCAGCTCCTTTTTGGTTGATAAACCATTTCCTGTACAGGTTTTACAATTTGTAACATTTCTGCTGTTTAAAAATCAACTAATTTTTCGCCTCATCAGTTCTCGACTAGTGAGGAAAAATGACCGAACAGCGGTTCTCGGATCAACAGGTCGGTGAGTTGTTGGTTGAATTCGGAACAGCATACTTGTGGATTACTCTTGCTATTTCTGTCATATAAAGAGCGATTTCTGAAAGATTAATTGCGAATCGTGAAGTAATCATTAGGACAGGCTTTGTGAACCGGTTCGTTCGGTTCACTGAAACTATCCAACTCGAAAGAACGATTCGTTCACGAATCAAAAATGTGTCATATGTCACGAGACTAGGTGTTTGTAATTTGACACTTCAACATATTAACATGTTATTACTTAAGTCTGGATCCCCCTTAATGAAGCGTGCTTTACAAAACAAATTTGCCCGCGACACCTCCAAACAAACGAACACAGATGTAAATGTTGAATTGTCACATACTCACATTACAGCACATACGTTGCGTCAAGCATCGCTCGTTGTACTTACCGATTTGCCCGATAAATTCTATTTTGATCCCTTGATGCTCGAGCCTCTTGCCTGGGTTCTTTAGGGTTACGTTGACTTTCCCAGAGACTGTCTCCCCATCGTAAAACAGGAAGTATTTGTCCTTTTTCCCGTCCTCTGTTTTGTGCTCGACCTTTTTTCTCGTCTCGGCATCATTTAGAACTATGTCAATTTCAGCAGTTTGTCCGAAACTGAAGAAGCTCATCCCGACACCTTGTGCTGGACTGGAATCCTTTTGTATTCTAACACCTGGCCCAATTCCACATCAATACAATTCCGTCCAGTTCACACGCGAGCTGCTTTATCTTCTGCAATGCATGTACGTTTATAATAGGCTGTTTAAAATTAATCTGAGCGAATTCTTCATATGGCTACTGTATTAATACATGCAGAGTATTTCTTCAGCAATGTACAAACAGGCACAAGCTTCAGAAATGAATTTACTACCGGGATAGTGTAGTCCACGTAAAATTTCTTTTCAAAATAAAAGTCTTAAAGAGACGACTGAAATCAAATGCAACAACAAATTGAATTTAATTTACCAAGACTCAAATGTACGTAAGAATAGTTGTATTTAGGAGTTTTAAATATTTTCATTTTTAATCATTTGATGCACACAAAATGTTGTTTTATACCCAGGGGTGCACATACGCGACCAAAATAAAAAAATGTGATGTGTAAATTATGTTCAGACCGTTCATTTGCGTATCGACATTGTCGACAGCTGTTAATGCACAATCGCCTTTTTAGATCGACTAACTGTGGTACTGTATAAGATTTCCACTCACAGCGAAAGCATAAATCTAGGCTATGCGCTGCCTAGCCTATAGAACACATCAAAACTGATATTTCTTCTTCTTCTTATGATGTTTAATGGCGGTTGGCAAACCAGCTTTTGGTGCATATTCCGCCACCTACTGGGATGGAGTGTGAGGCGATGATATCAAGGGAAATGCTAATTTAAAAAAAGGATTCCTTCTACCTATATTTTATTATATACATTTGTTCTTTTAAAAAAAATAATAAGACCTTTATAACCTTTATGAGAACTGTTTAACACATTCTGTAATGTCATAGAATTAATGCCGGCAGATTTTAATTACTCTTTTAATTGTATTCTTTCCCTTTCATATGCCCTACAGTTAATCAGCACATTTTTCTACAGTTTCTGGAAGTCCACAATGATTACATTGACCAGATTCATGTCTTCCTATCATCTGGAGTGATTTATTAAGAGTAGAGTGTCCAATTCTCAATCGCGATATAACTGTATCATCCCTTCTATTACCATAAGCAGTTCTTACATGTCCTACTTGTTTATTTATATTATACAAATGTCGCCCTTTGTTACCTTTATCCCATCTCTCTTGCCATATCTTTCTGACAGCTACTTTAATTAAACCTTTAATTTCAGATTTACTCAAGGGTATATGTATGTCAATATTTGTGTGCTTAAGAGCCTGTTTCACTATCTAACTGATATTTCATTCACTCGGCAGCGCTAAAACCAGCAGCGCAACTTACTTGCACTGTTGCCAACTCTCGCAAGATAAATAGGCAACCGCAGCTTAAAAAACAAGCCCGATATTTTTTGGGGGGATTTTTTTATTATCATCAATATTATTTATTATCAATTATTTATTACCAATAAATGAACATGCAACATATTAAACTGAAACCACTCTTTTATCTGAAAAGCAAAAACAGATATGTTAATTTACAAAAATCAGCAAACTGCAACAAAGTGAGAACAAAACTCATCTCCAATCACCTGTGAGCAGAATAGGATTGGAGAGATGGAAAAGGAGAAAAACACAAGAGCTTCAAAGGGGAACTGTAACATAGCCACATATTTATAGCCTACTAAAATATAGGCTATTCGAACCAAATGTATAGGCTATATAGTTTTAGTATTAGTATAGGACTACTTGTTTTTTATTACAGCCCATGATAATTAATACATTACTAAAACATTGTAAAAAATTAAAAATTAGGCTAAAAGAAAGTCATTCCACTCCTCTACGTCTACATCTGTCATCGCCTGGATTACAGCGTCACGCGCCTTCTTTTTGAACGTGATTTTCTCCAATGAGGGGGAGGAGGGGGCGGAACATTTGGCAAATTAAGCTGCAGCATTTATATTATTGCACTGGTTGGCTGAGCAGGCAGAGCAGGCAGAGTGTCAACCAATGCATTGGAGAATACGGCGAACATAAATAAAGAAACAAAGTTGCTTGTCAGATTTCCCTAACAAGCAACCATATTTTTAAAAATAAGCCCAAAAAACCGCAACCCGCGACCCGGGATTTTTTCACGCAATTTTACAAAAAAAGAAGCCCAAAGTCGCGTATAATACGCGGATTTGGCAACTATGCTTACTTGCCGGCAACCCGCCAAAATAAAAGCGTGCTGATTTTAGGTTGGAAAATGATGAAAATACATTTAAAAAATAAAAAAAGAGTCAATATAAGCATTGCATTTTTAACTGTACTATAAAATAACTGTATTTTTATTTTATACTCAATTTATTTATTTTTAAATATAATAGTATTATCACACTGATTATTTTGTTTATTATTTTATTAAAATACAAAATAAATAAATGCAATAATACTATTATCACTATTAATAATTATTTTATTTTTATAGTTATATTTAATGAGTCACACTATGTGCAGTGTGAGTTACAAACTAATTCTCCAGGCACTCTCATGGGAACCAGACCGAAAAACTTATGTGCACCCCGTTTATAACATTTGTCATATTGGACGCGGTTTCTGCAGGTCTTAAAAAGTCTTAATTCCCGCTTTCTCAAATTAAGGTCTTAAAGTAAAGTCATTAAGTATTCATCAGTTAAATAAAGTCGTGGCATTAATTGTTGCATGCAATGAAAAACAAATCTCAGTATTTTTGTTTTGTTTTCGAATACAAATATCTAATCATCCTTAAATCAAGATGCATTAACCTGAGAAGCAAAATGAAGCCCTGTTTTCTGAAGAATTGAACAATATGAAGTGGGTTTATGTTTAAAACAAGAACACATGAAAACTTGTTTTCCCTTTGAATTCAGATTTTCTAGTGGAGCCCATTCGAAGATATTTCTTCTTTCTTTAATCATGAACTCACTCAATTTATAGGCTATATATTTCTCAAAAAACAAGACTTTTTATTAAAAAGTTATGAAGCTCTGTTGGAAGTAGTTTTTTTCAAAAAGGTCTTTAAAAATCAAAAATGTACCTTCAGAAAACCTGCAGAAACCCTGATCCATGGCTGATTGAACAATTAGGAGAGCCCTGGTTTGTTGAAATGTCATATTAAATAAAAATTATACTTATTTATAAGCGGAACGTCTTTGAAAAATGCTGACAACACTATCTTCATTTAAAAAAAAAAAAAAGATGTAATGATGCACCCTGGTCTGAGACTTGGTGTCACTGTCATGTAGTTAATGTCTCCCTCTAGTGAGCACAGCTAGTGACAGCACAACTCTGCATGAACACCGGTTACAAACATTCATATCGTTGCCACGCGCATGTTTTGTTGAAAACATAAAGGATTTAGTATAAATGTAGGAAGCCAAGTCCAACAAGATATATAGACTATTTGACAGGAGGATAAGTGCCAAATGGTTTCTAAGTCTCAGTGCACTCAGCCTCTTAAATCTTGATGAAAGGACCACTTTTAAAGCCCATTAACAAAATATGTTAAACCGGTGATTATTTGATATTAGACAACTAAAAAGGTGAATGGAAATGGAATGGTCAAATTCTTTCAAGGCAGTCATAATCCTCTGTAAATCCTGTTTAACTGAAAGTATAAGGCAAGCCATATTAACATTTATTTCTATCACCTATTTTTGATATACATATTTTAATTTGAAGTAAACAATCCAACACTGACTGGTATCTTTTTCAAATTTAATAACTTAGTATTTAGTAGATATTAGTTCTTATCCCAGTAGCTACAAATATCTATTCAGTTAGTCACTAGTACGCATTTATCAGGTTGGTTAGTATTTATTCCTTTGCCAATAATGATGATAAACTGCAAATTTTTGCCACTGGATCATATGGGGATCTGTTGCTCAGATAACTATTAACTAGTGAACTAGTGAGATTAGAGATTTTTCGAGTAACATCTGGGATAGATACTATAGTATCTCATACTGAAAGTACTAGTGACTAAACTAAAAGTTGACTAGTTACTAGGAATAAGTATACAGGCTATATAATTAGCCTATTAATGAAACTGAAAATAGATACTTGTCACATAAAAACCTGTAAAGTATGGGGATCTGTTTCTCAGATATTAACTATTCACTTCTTAACTAGTGAACTAGTGACATGAAAAATGTCCCTAACAGGGATAGATACTTTTGTCTCTTACTTTAAGTAATAGTGACTAACTGGAAGGTGACTAGTCACTAGGAATAATTACTATACAGGCTATAATTAGCCTACTAGTGAACTTGAAAATAGATACTGTTAGTCACATAAAGTGACGTAAAGTCGTAAAGTAACATTACATAGATACTATGTTTTCAGGGGGGGGAAATTGTTAAATGAGCTTGCCATAAAAAGGGATAACCTGGAATAGCGTGTGTTATGCAAAGGCAGTCTCTGGTTACCTTTTGAATACGCGCTTGTGATTGGCTGTCCAGGCTGTCACTCCATCTGTGGGCGTGGCCAGCTCACTCTACTCTAAAACACGCTGCACCCTGAGAGCGCTTCATAACAGTCATTTCATTTACAGCCGCACTAGGCATGGTACGAGGCACACATCGCTGAGTTACACAGTGCAATCAGACACCAGGCTTCACTGTTAGTCAGCTTTGATCATGTGTGATTGTTAGAGTTAGCAAACTAGACAAAATCTTCACTGCACTTATCCTCTGTTTAAGGACAGTCAGCTGACTTTGGCTTTAATTTTGTGATGGCAGAACCGCAGCAACAGCTGGTTGACATCGACCCGGATTTCGAGCCTCTCTCCCGGCCGCGATCATGCACCTGGCCGCTGCACCGACCGGAATTCAGCGAGCCGGGGAGCTCGAACACGTCCTCCCCGGCGCCGTCCGTCAAGCCGGAGCAAGGCATCGTGGACTTTATCAGCAGCCTAAGTTTACTAGAAGAGACCGAGGACTACCCGGAGGAGAAACCTGTCCTTTTGAACGACTTCCACTGCCAGGACAACTGCGTTCATCCCCAGCAACAGCATCCCCAGCAGCCGAATACCCAGCTGACGCACCCGCAACAGGTGCCGCCGCTCCCCGCCCCTGCCAGCAGCTCCAGCCCTGCAGCGGCCCAGAGGAAGAGCAGCTCGTCTCGCAGGAACGCCTGGGGGAATATGTCATACGCTGACCTCATCACCAAGGCGATCGAGAGCTCCCCTGAGAAGCGGCTCACCCTGTCTCAGATCTACGAGTGGATGGTGAAGAGCGTCCCTTACTTCAAAGATAAGGGCGACAGCAACAGCTCTGCCGGCTGGAAGGTAATGGCTCTCCAAGGCCAAGCACAAGTGTCATTAAAAGTAGCATTAGAGGTCCCATCATATTGTATATGTTATATTTAAATACACTAACATATAGAAGTATTTTTGCACACTGAAAGCATCCTTTAATGTGTCCATTAAATAATTATTTTGTTTTTGCAACTCAATTAAAAAAAACAATTAGGAAAAATAAGTGATTGTGATTCACAATAAGTGGAAGGATGAATGTTTTTCTACATTTATACGTGTGCAGTTGTTAGCTAAAATAGCAATTCATATCAGATAGTAATCTTTTACAAAAAAAAACACATATTTTCTTAATATTTTAATCTGTTTTTCCAGTAAAAATACCTAAACTTCCTTAAAAGAAGATGCATTTAATGTGTAAGACATTAAGACTTTTTTGAGAATATATCTTAAATTAATTGTTTATTATTTCAAGTATAAATCTAACATAATCAAGAAACAAGATTTATTTATTTAGGCCGTGTATTTCCTCCTAAATTACCTTTTTACCTGACCTAATTACCTCTACCTGACTGGTAATTTTTGTTGGGAACCTAATGTAGGCAAGCTTTACAGGGGGTCCTGGGTGGGTCTGGCCTGACCAACCATGTTCTAGCCCACCCCTGCAATCACCCACAACTGTCTGTCCCACCTTATATCTCTTATATCTTAGAACTAGTGAATTTAATTCACTAGTTCTAAGATATAAGAGATGTATAATATAATGCTTTTGACTTGAGCTAACTTTTGGTGCTACCACATGAAGCACATGTTGAGAACTTTTTTTTTACGTAGCGTACTATATGACAGTAACAATTATCCTTCAAAAGCGCGGTTGTGTGGATTGATTCTCTCTCAGCGCAAATGAATGACATGCGGTTTGTTATGGAATTTAAGGCTCGAAAGAGGAGGGAACTGAGCTCTCAGTGTTCAGAAGAATGCATAACATCTCAATATCAGCTGCGCTTTTGCTGATGCCAGTTCAGTTTAATCGTTTATTATCCTTGACAGAAGAACTTGTGGATTGGCTTTCTGTCATCAGCCTGATGTAGAGAGAGGGTTAAATAAGGGGAAATAACAAATCGTACCCACTCATGAACCAAAAAAAAAAAACGTTTTTTTTACTTGCCCTCATGTCATTCCAAACCCGTATGACTTTTTCTCTTCTGTGAAGGTAGAAAATTTGTTTTGCATGCTGGTACTGAATCTTTCATGCTTCAAAAAGGATGCAAAACCGTCATTAAAAAGTGGTCCATACATCTTGTGCACTATATTATTCCAAGTCTGAGCTTAAGGCATACAATAGCTTTGTGTGAAATATAATGAAAAGAGTGACCAGTAAAGTCTTTAAAGTTTCTACTTTTTGTGAGTAAACTACTGTTATTTATCTTGTTGTGTGACTGAACTGTGGTCATTTTCATCGGTTGTAGTCATGTGACGTATTTTTCCAGCGTTTTTGCAGAGGTATGTAGTAAGTCTTGTGATTTGACGACACATTTCTAAAGCTCCTGAGGTGCTTTGAGGTGCCTGATGACTAAAACCAACTATCACGAGTCCTGTAAGGCTGCCACGAGTGAGGTGGAGCAAACAGAGAGTGGTTTTAGTGTTGAAAGGGTCTTTGTCAACCTGTCATTTATCACTAGAACACTTGTTCCTGTCTCTGATTCACCCCTCCATACAAGCCACTTTTGTTTCTTTGCTTGCTCGGTGCGTAAATGGAAATACAAATCCTTACCGTCACACATGTCAGGGCCTCCTCCCAACACTGAGCTAAAAATACCGGCAGGATTACCTGTCATTACAGGGAAGACACATTTACCTGAAAGGTGTGGTCCGCCCCCCTCCTCACCGCCATCGGCTCTACACGCCATGGCAAAACATCGTCTGGACTCCTTCACCTGTGACATCATAGTTTCAGCATTCCAGTCACTCGTAGGATGTTTGTAGGGGTTAGACTGTTCTTTATCATCATACTGTCTACACACCTGAGACAATACAACAGTACTCTGCTACCTGTCTTAGTAGATTCCAGTGTATAATTCATATTTTTATATATAAAATATTTAAAGGGGTCCTATTATGCTCTTTTACAAAGTCTTGATTTTGTTTTGTGGGTGTACTAGAACAGGCTCTCATACTAGGTTGTTCGAAAAACACATTATTTTTCACATATTTTACATTATTACAACACCTCTCTCCCCAGTCTGACATGAACGGCTCGAATAGTTCCTGTATCAAATGAAGGCCCGCCTTCTGAAATACGAAATGTGCTGTGATTGGTTAGCTGGGCCAGTGTGTGTTGTGATTGGCGGCACTCGGCGCCTGGTCGGGAAATGTCATGCCCCTTACCATAGCTGCCTGCCAGCTTCAGTGTAAATATTGCATCAATATCAATTCAATTTGAGCATGATTTAAACCCGGATGATTGTAACCACTCTAAGTTCGCCTGCCTTGGGAAAGCTAGCGTGTCTCCGACATCGTGATAACACTCGTTGCCTTCTCTAGTGCAGCTCAACCAGGTCTCGTCCCATTCGTCAATATTTGTGATATCACAAATCCCGGAAAATATGCGTTGTAGTCCAAACGAGTCGTTCGTTGTAGTTTTTGAAAAGTGATTTCTGTTAAATAAAATATCTCCTTTTGAAGTGGACTTTGAGCTTTGTAACTTTGCAGATCTTTTTTATGCTCAAACAGCAATATTACAGACTAACTAAAGTTGAAAAAGTGAAAAAGCATAATAGGACCCCTTTAAATATATTTTATAAATATATTCATATATATTTTAGACTAGTAACAAGCTGCAACAAATAATTTATTAGGTTTTAAATTTGCCGTAATAGCTGGAAAGGATACAACTATGATGTAACTTCAATACAGCTATAAATTCAAAAAACCCACTTTTGCTGGAAAATGATGTCATAATGCGATTTCTTTATGATTTTCAACCCTTTCTAACTGATGCTTGCAAGACACCACAAATTATTCTTGAAACTGTGACAAAACTTCATCTGTGTTAGCCAGCTGGATACATTTAACATGGTGACATATTTAAATCAGAATAATTTGCAACAAGAAAACCAAATGCTTAAGTTTGAAAGACATAAAAACTGTATGCAAATGACTATTAATGGAAGACATACTGTCATTGCACCACTTTTTTTTGCTTTTATTCTGAAACTTACACCATGTGCTAAAGAGTTTATGTCCTAACCAGCCATGATAACCAGATATTTTGTTGATTGGTTGGCTGTGGTTTCTGTAGTGTAATGCTGAATTGTTCTTTCCACTTCGGAATCTCATTGGTCCAAAACACTGTTCCACATCAAATGTGTTCTAATTGGCTGTTATCGTGCCTTTTGGGCCACATCAGTTTCACTATGGACAGATTGCTTATCGCTGGAATCATGTTTGTTTAAGATTCATAATCATAACTGAATGAAAGCTGGAATTGTGTGCAAACTGATCACTTTTGTTTAGTACACTAGTTTTTTTTTTAGTTTCAAGCCTTGAATTTAGGTGTAGCTGCTAGATAGAAGTCAAGGAGGTTGAAGTGAAAAATGCTACCCTGTGGTTCAAGTGTCTCCAGAGTTCAGAGGTCAAAATGTAAAGGTCATGCCACCAAGTTTGTGGAGCATGTAATGGGAGTCCATACTCATTCCCTTAAAAGCCTTGGCAGTTTACACCCAAAGCTAGAGATGTGTTACTATGTCTGTGGTATAGTGATACAATCTTGTGTGGAGCCTTACTCTAGCTCATCTTGTGTAATTCAACACACCCTTTGTCATTCATCGTTTTTATTGCCATTTTTACTATTTTAATTCCATTCATAATGTCATTAACGGCACTAAGAGTTACTCACCCGAATTAATAAATAAACTCATGTGGTGTTCATTTAGGTATTTTAGAGAGAGAAAAAACAAGCTTTCTCACTTCCCCCTCTTTCTCAAGCTTTTGAAAAATGTTTAACTCTGAGCCCTACTTACAGCACATGAACCCTGTTACCTCTACATGCTTTGAAGTTCACCATAGGCTTTCACCTCACCCACTAACACTCACACATGCACAAACATGCAAGCCATACATTTGCACGTTAGTGTTTTCAGGCTATTTCAAGGCAAACACAATATTTGTTCAAGCTTATCTTGAGCAGATACCAATTTGTATCCTAGTTTGTCGTTCAGTAAGTTTCGAGTGTAGGCGTACTGGCCACTGATTCTCCAAAACTATAGTCACTTTTGACCTGTTTGTGGATTCAAAGTGTGCATTAGGTAGTTTTAAAATCTAACAACCCTCTACATTGCGAGTAAATCACTCGCATATGCGACTAAATCTTACTCTGGGTGACTAAATAATGTCTAACATTAGCCATTGGCTAATAAATTCTTAGATTTTATTTTTTTTTACTTTATTGATTGTAAAAATGCAGAAAGTTTTCTGTTAGGGGTAGGGGTGGGTTTAGGTTAAAAAGTGTATAACTATCTGTATATAAAAACAATAGAAGTCTATGTAATGTCCCCACTTAGATAGCTAAGTAAATGTGTGTGTGTGTGTGTGTGTGTGTGTGTGTATCAGTCTGGCGAGTAAACAAAAAAATGTACTAGCCAATGGTGATTATATTGCCAAGGTGTGCGTAGAGGGTTGTCTAAATTCTAGAATTTTACATTTATCTTATTCAGTTTGTGAACTCTGGGGCAGTTTCTCAGAATGTGTTTGACAGATAAATGTCAGTACGTACAGGTGAAGTGTGCAGAAGTTGAAGTTTGTGGTTTGTAGATGATACCTGCTCTGCATAACACGAGTAGTGCATAATTAGCATTGTGCAAGGTGCAGCAAAATTGAGGGACATTTTGCTTTTACACACACTCAAAGCGAAAGAGAGAAAGGTAAGGGAGGAAAGGTTTGAAAATGAAATAAAAGCACATGAAGTGCTGCTCCACCGTACCACAGACAGATGAAAGACTTCATCACTGTGGCTCTGCGAGTTGGTGCAGACT